CTATGATACTATTAATTTGTGATTTATTCATTAACATAAATTATGGTGAAAATATTCCATTAGCAAATTATTTGCATTTAAATTGAAATCTGGAGATCATCTGGGGACCCTCACTTTATGTTTCATGACCCACAGATACCCAGAGAGGGTTCACGTCACCAATTTTGTGAACCACTGCACTACGTCATCTGTTTCAGCCAAAAGTACAGATAATTGCAGGAAAATGTGAGGAGTAGAGGTAAAAAAAAAGTTTGAAAAATAATTAGTCCAGTATAGTATAGATCAGAGGTTCTCAAACTGGTCTGCGAGCTGTATCTTGGGGGTCCTCAAAAAATTTCAATAAATTGTTAATTTGTTTTTATTTTTAAAATATGCGCATTGGGAACAATGCACTARTAAAACAAACACACTAAACCAAACAAAAATGGAATTCAAGGGTTAAAATGATGGTAAATTATTTTTAAAATAGCATGGGGTACATGAGGGGGTCCCTGAAAAATTGTGAGGGGTCCCAAAACCCAAAATGTTTGAGAACCCGTGGTCTAAGAAACCTTCACATGAACAAAACTCCCTGCCAATGGCTGGAAATTTGTTAACAATCGGTTGATTCTATTTTAATAAGACTGTGTGGAAGAAGAAGGAAGTCTCAAATAACAGTTTTCATGTAGGAGTTAAAGAACTTTTTTTTCTGATTACTGTTTGACAATCTTGGACCAGACTCAGTACATCACAAGTCATCGCAGGATCCAGTCAGGGGGGACAGTACCAGGTGTTTTCATTTTCCAAACCTCAAGCAGCTATCAAGCTTAACCAAARTAAAATCTCACAAAAATTCCTAACTTCTGGCACCAAGCAGACWTCAAACCTTAACTTAAAACTAAGGGTGGGAATCTTTTACTATCKCATGATTCGATTCCAAATCGATTTTTCAGTCAAACCTGATAATGTTGTGTTCTTTAAGTGGTTCATCTTCATTTTTGCAAACCTTGCACACAGTGAAGCTCGTGAAACTCAGACTCATTCAATAAAAACCAATATGAGCCCAAATCTTTGCATTCAATGAAGACAGGGCCAGTTGAGTATCTCTTTCCTCCAGTTTTGTAGTTTCCTCTTTGTTTTGGTGCTTTTTGCACATGCATAAGTTCCAGAACCAGCTGCAGGGTGATGTCAGGACATCCCATGTAGTTAAAACATGGAGGCTGACAGCCATTGGATTTGCTTTATTTTTTTTAAAGCAAATTTGAGACATTTTAAATCGATTCCGAACCTTTGTAAATGAGAATCACGATTCTGATGTGAATCGATTTTTTTGGTGCACCCCTACTGAAAACCTCGGACACTTTACTTGATAAAGGCCCTGTCACACTGTAACCTTTTGGACAACTTATGCTGAYGACTTATGAAACATATCGGCTACAAAGCTGATCTAACTGTTTGTATTACAGTATGGATATGTCCAAAATAAGCTTCCAGTAGATTTTTTTTTTAATTCCATCTTCACTTTAGACGTCCTGATGCATCTCAGTAATCCAGGTAAAAAATCTAAAAGAAAAAAATTGTATAGGTCTTCTGGACGGGTTCTTCT